AAAAGAACTTTGAAAACGTTTTTATTGTATAAAAATATATAAATACGTTTTTCATATGTATTTATTATATTCATATGTATTTTTTTACGTATAAATACGTTTTTATATTTATAAATATGTATTTAAAATATATTTATATATGCATTTATTTAATAATAACAAAATTTAAATAATAATATACTTATTTGAGTTTTAATAAAATAAGAAAAATAAAAATAAATTTTTTTGTAGAAAAGTCTCAATATTTTGGTTCAGTTTACGAAATAGTCTCAATATTTTGGATCAGTTTACGGAATAATCATAAATTAATTTGTTACCGACTGATTCGGAAAAAAATGGTCATAATGCAACATTTTACCGTTTTTTTTTCGATTTTTTTTGTAAAAAAAATAATAATTTGGGACTATTTTGTAAACTAATCCAAAATATTGTAACTTTTCTAAAATTTTCTCTTTCATCACATTTAGGTGTTGTTTATTTTTTCTGAGGCAAAATGTCTGCAGTCTGCGGACCACATATGTAGACCTCTGCAATAGAAGATGTGAATCAAACGCAGTCTGCGGACCACATCTGTAGACCTCTGCAATAGAAGATGTGAATCAAACGTCTGCAGTCTGAAAAAAGAAGATTGTTTGTTTTTTTTAACATCTGCAGACTACTAAATAAACTAAAATCTAAATAAACTGATTTTTTTTAAACTACAAAGTGATTTTTTAATATATTTATGACTTTGTTATAAATAATTAACAAATCTAAATCAAACTTTTATGTATTATTGTATAAAAAGTGAAAATTAAAATGATACAAATAAACGTATATATTTGATAAAAACCAACAATTTTGGTCGCAAAGTTATGCTTAAACATTGTAACTAGGAATAAAAATTTTTGATATATAAATGAATGGAAATAAACTTCGATTTTTTCAATTAAATCAATTAAAAACGTGCCATAAATATTTTTTCTAAGAAATTGACGATGCTTTATTAAATAATGTTTTATAAAATTTGGCACACAATATAAGAATATATTATTATTATTATTATTTTCATATTTATATAAACAACTTCAACGACCATTATTGTAATAAACTATTATTTATAAATTTCTCAAAAATATTATGTTTGTGTCGTCGAACTTTTTTTTCAAATTGTTTATCACTAATAAAGTTGGAATAAATATATATTCAAAAAAACAAAAAATTAAAATAAAATAAAGTATATGTGTTTTTTTAGGCTAGAAGATGTCTGAAGATGTTAGAAGACTCTGGTCCACATCTGGGCCAAAAAGTCTTCAAAAAAACAAACAGTCTGTGAAGGCTAATGTCTGTGTATGGTCTGCGCCGCGCAGACAGAAGAGGCCATAAAGATCTGCGGATAAAAAACAAACACCACCTTAGTCCCTTTTTTTCCATACCATATACCATCAAACTTGTTGAACATGTTCATATTTTACCCTTGTGACCTGCTACCATATGTAAAAAGGTAATATGTGAACAGTTCAACAAGTTGAATGGTACATAGTGTACAAAAGGAAAATGACTAAATGTGAACAAAAAAAGAACCTCCCCCTCCACCTTATCTACCACCAACACAACCTCTACCACCTCCACCTTCGTCACCGCCGCCACTGTCACCACCACCACCACCACCCCCTCCACCATCGCCTTCGCCACCGTCACCGCCACCGCATCCATCATTACCTCCACCACTGCCTCCACCTCCACCACCGCCACAACCACCGCCTCCGTTACCGTTGCCTCCGCCGCTACCACCGCCACCTCCAACCTCCATCACATCCAACCTCCACCACTTCCAACCTCTACCTTCACCACGACCACCACCTCTAACCATCGCCACTGCCACCAGCACCAACACCTCCGCCATCACCTCCACCGAAGGCAATGATGGAGGTGGAGGTGGTAGTGGTAGTAAAGGTGACGATGTTGATGGTGGAGGTGGTAGTGATGATGGTTGTAAGGGGCGGTAGCAGTAACGATGGTATAGGTGGTGGTGGTGGCGGCGGTGGTGAAGGCACTAATGGTGGAGGTGGTGGTGACGGAGGCGATGGCGATGGCTGAGGTGGAGGCGGTGGATGTGGATGTGGAGGCGGTAGTGCAAGCGGAGGTGATGGATGTGGATGTGGAGGCGGTAGTGCAAGCGGAGGTGATGGTGGCCACAGAAGTAGAGGTAGACAGTGGTGGTAGCTATGACTAGGGGTGGCAATTGTTGACACGACACGACAAAAATACACGACACAAAACGAAACTGGGACGAAACTGAAATTCGAATTCGTGTTCGTGTCGTGTTTGTGTCAAGTATAAAAACATGATGTCGTGCTCGTGTTCAAATTTTGACACGAAATTGACACGATTAAACATTTGTTTGACGTGTTTGCGTGTTTGTCGTGTTATGTATGATTAAATATTAATTAAATAAACTAATTTTTATATTATGTTACATTTGTCGTGTCGTGTCGTATTTGTTGTTTTTTAATTTGTTCGTTTTCGTGTTAGTTAAAAAAAACACGACATCGTGTCGTGTCGTGTTCGTGTCACATAAAAGCTTGTCGTGTCGTGTCAGACAAAAACCCAACACGATGACCCGATTTGCCATCCCTAGCTATGACAGAGGTGGAGGTAGTGGTGATAGTAGAGGCAACGACGATAACTGTGGTGGTGGAGGAGGTTGTTGGAGGTCGTGGAGAAAATTATTTTTTTGTTCACATTTAGTCATTTTTTTATCATCTAACTTGTTGAACTGTTCATATGTTACCATTTTTACTTACGGTAACATGTCATAATGGTAAATGTAAACAGGTTCATCAAGTTTGATAGTATATGATCTATAAATAAAAGAAAAGTGACTAAATATAAGCACACTCAATAGTTTGTTACCTTCGTAAATTATTTTCTGTATTATGTTTTGTATATCAACCCTGCTGTTCTATCAAGTGTACTAAAATGCACTCTTACCATAAAAAATATTCAATTTTCATAATATCTCGTTAATATGGGGTTTCATGTGAAAAATGTTTCACATGTTTATTTGCTTATATTATTATGAAGTTCTCGAAGAATTTTCATAAACATTATCGATATAAAAGCATCGACTTTATTATTGCCATTGAAAACTTTACTCAATTGTCATTGTCACAATGCCTCGTATATTATTATCCATTGAACATTTGTCGCAATCACTATGCTCCACATATTTTTAGTTCATTAAACGTCATAGAATCGTAAAAGTATTCCCAAGGATTCCCCAAATTCCACCAAAATATTATAAAAATACATAAGATGTGTTTGACACACTGAAAACTTATTTATTTTTTGGTTTTTTTAAACCGACATGTTTAGTAAGGTAAAAAATAGATTATAAGTGAATTTTTGAAAAACTTATTTATTAGAGTAGCTAGTTATTTATTTATTTTCAAATATATTTTTAATTAATTCTAAAAATACCTATTATTATAAATGTTTTTATATTATTTTTCATATTTCAATTAGTTTTATCGAATATTATTTTTCATCAGCCGACTTATTATAAAACATAATATTTTTTTAAGTGCAGGTACTTTTTCTACGATTTCAATTATGAAACCATAGCAAAACATCAATTTTATGAAGTTACAAATATCAGAAAATAATTTTGAAAGAAATTAATTTTCAAAACAATTTGAATTTTGGAGAACGATAAGTTTCGAAGACACTAAGACAAAACATACACTTAACATGACAAATATAGATATTATTTGGTTGTCACTCAAAAACAAAAAATAAGAAAAAGTTAATCATTTAACATTTACAAAAAATCAAACACGTATTTTATTTTATGAAATAATAGTATTGTTGTTAAAAACTACTAGTATTATCTTAATGATTATCTTTAACAATAAGTTTTCAAAAGCAACCATCTTGAAATCGTTTATGTTTCTTAAACTTTATTGCTATATTAAGCTTAAATGTAAATTTGTCATGGAATGAAAATTGTTATATTAAAGATCTTAAAAAACTAATATATTTTCTAATCTATCGTTTTATGTGAATTTTTTTTTATAATGCACAACTTTCTTGAAATCATAATTATTATGTATAGCTATAAAAAATATTACCTACCCCTCATCATCCTTTTAAGGGTAGTTTTTTAGATGGTTGTATTTTATACCAACACTTTTTAATTATTCATAATAATTTATAATTTAGATGAGTATATTTTATTAATATATTTTATTACTATATAAAACATAAATTATTATGTATGATTAAAATGTATAAAAATCACCACCATTTTTATGCTTATGGTAATTTTTTAACGTGAATTCATGATAAAACGAAGATACCAATAAAATTCCAAACTTGTTTATTTTATAAAACTTATTATGATAAAACCAATTATGTTGCATTAAAGTTGAGGTCAATATGTATTCAAAGCGTTTTACAGAGGATATTAATTTTATTACTATATATGTTACTATTATAGTTTGAACATATTTTTAAATTATTATAAGATAAATATGAATAAGTTTTAATGTTCCTTTTTCCTAAAAAACTGCTGCAAATCTGTAACATTTTAAAAAAAAATGTATATCCAAATTCCAACCACATATTTTAATAGCTCAACTACTTTTTATAACTCATTAAAATTCAATTATTTAAACAATTAATTGATTTTAAATATTTCACCAACATTTATATCTTAAGCGACTCTTTTTTTGTTTTGTTGTGGAACCCCACACACTCCGCATTACACTCCATCGTTATCCACGTGTCACCTTCCATCTGCCACCCTGTCATCTTCTTACTTTTCATTTTCTTCCACTTTTGTCATTATCCGTCTTTTTCTGCTTGATAATCCATATCAGTACAGCAGTCGTACACGCATATCATACCACCACTTTCTCTCTCTAAAACAGATTTTCTCTCTCTATATCTATATATATACTTAGACCCGTGAGTGTAGTAGTAGTAGTAGTAAACATTGCAGTTAACAGACAAAAAAAATGGAGGATAACAATGGAGAACGATCGCCGGTCGCCGGAGAAGACGGTGAGTATAAGGCGGAGGACGTGAGCGAGGCGGTAGACAGCATGGTGAGTTGGTTGTTCTCGATGGAAAATGACGATGAGGTTAACGCGATTGAGTTATCGAAGTTTCTGGAAGCTTCGGCGGAGAAGACGCATCCGATGAAGGTGAAGATCATCGACGATCCTTGCTGGCATCCGGTGATTTTTCAGACTGCGGCGTCGTACATTACGATTAACGGTAATGAGGAGCTGTGTGGATCTTCGTTTTCGGATTCGGATACTTCGTATATGGCGGGGATAGCTGGTGGATGTGGTTCTGTGTTTGGTGACGGTGGCGCGTGGGAAGGTGTTGGGGAGGAGACGCGTGGGTGGATAGAGGCGGAGGATGGGAGTTGTTTGGTCAATGCTTCGAGTAATGGTTACTGTGACGATGACATGCTTGCGAAGTTTTTAGGTGATGATGTTGGGCAGACGCTGTGCGAGTAAGTGTAAAGCACGCGCCGTTGATGGGGTTTGGGGTTTTAGTTAGGGTTTTTGAATATGGGGGTTTTTAGGTAAGAAAATTGTACAAAGTTTGACATAGAAGAAAGAATTAAAACAATGGAAACGTGAAAGAGGACATGTACTAAAATTGGAAATGCTTATTTTGGTTGCATACGTGTTTATATTTTCTTTCATATGTTCTTGGATAATAATGTAAATTCAACTTTATAAATTAATTATTTTAAGAATTTTATCATAAATTCATGTAAATAATCAACCTTTTTGCATTGTATCTGCCAAATCATAAAAATGATGTTGTCGATTTTCGTAGATTTATTTTTGAACCGGCAAATGAATATAAAAAAGAAGCCCCTAGCAAGAAGCTAAAGTATGTAGACAATTGTAAGAAAAAACCACCGTTTAGAGTGGTTGTCCGTCCATTTAAGACTCCCATTACCACTTCGTTTAGAGTAGTTGTCCGTCCATTTAAGACTTCCATTACCACTTTTGTGTTTGCATGAGACAAAAGTGATGGATTTGATGATATTAGCAATTTTTGTAGGTGCCATTTTGTTTTTGTTGAACCGTCAATCGTTCATTGTTTTCCACACACTTCACATCATTCCGTAACATATACCAACGAATCTCACACTTTTTTTGGACAATTACCCCAATTTGAGGCATAATCTAAAACATCAACCACCGAATTCAAGCTCACCAAAGGGATATTACACCAACTAAAAATCCACTCCACGACTGACTTTGTGAAAGGGCATTGTATTAAAATGTGATCCACCGTCTCTTCCGCATTCCTGCACTGTTGACAAATGTTTGAATCCACCATCACTTCTCTTTTGATGAGTTACACAACAGCTGGTATTCGCCCTAATCTGACCCTCCATATGAAGCTCGTTACTTTTAAATGCACATCTTTAATCCATAAGAATTTTCCAATGTGGTTCCTGAGTTTGCAATCTGACTCTCAATGCTTTGACTTTAAACATTTTTTTTAAAAATTTTTTTCGCCTTTTTCCTTGTTTACACAAAAAACTGGAAACCAAAGTTTTTCTACTTTTTACTTTTTTTTTTCAAAAACACTCTCACGCATATAGACCCTAAGTCCCTAATATTATGTTGATCTCATTTCAAAGAACAATAGACCCTAATATTATGCCTAAATGTTGATCTCATTTCAAAGAACAAATTTTATGGTATTAGAAGTATTTAACCATAAGGATACTGTCTGAGTTGGTAAGAACTTGGTCTAAATATGAAGGTCACAAATTGACAAGTTATAAAAACGGTCCTATGGTTGATAAAATTATATATTTTTGGTTCAAAAAATTTTAATAGTGTACAAATGGTCCGGATTCTTTTATTGGTTTTGGTTTCTATACACTTAAAAACACAATTATGCCACTTTTTTATATATATATATATATATATATATATATAATTTTATTTAATTGTTGAAATACATAAATTAATTTAATTGTTATTTTTAACTTTAAAAAAATGTCCACCCACCCTATTTCTCTTTCCATCTCTCGTAACAAACACACACACACACAATAAATATATCACCACTAATGGTTGTCACCATCACCACGGAATGTCACCACCAACTGCTACCACCATCCGCCACCATCACCATCGATTGCCACCACACTCCACCACAAATATTCAATCCCACCCTCACCCCATCGAAATCTGTAAAAAAATTACAACTGATTTTTGCCTCAAGACAAATCCAATGGAAAACTGGAAGGTTCTTTAAGTCAATAATGATGGTGAGGGCTTCATAGTTCATACCGATTCAAATCGGAGGATATTTAGTAAGGATGATTCAAATGAGATGGTTCTTGTGAAAAGGCATAACTTTCTTGAATTACCATCGATTTACCTGCAATTTGAGTGCAACTTTAGCTATTTTCTTGAATTTGTGGATGCGACCGAGTAAAAATTGTATGGTAATGGTGAACCTTTTTAAAAGCCAAATCGAATTCGAATTTATCATGGCACACTCGTCACAACCATTGAAGCACGAGCAACCACGTAAACCGCATTATCTAGAGATAAAGAAGCAGACCCAAACGAAGACGTCCTCTCCAAATCAGGTACCAAATGAACATTCTGTGTAGAAGTATTACCTTGGGATTTTTGACGATTATACCCTTATGATTAACATCCTTTTTCTCCGGAACAGGAACATCATCTTCGAGACCTCTCATGACATAGTTGTTGGATGTTACAGAGACGATAGAGACGGGAGGGGGAATTAGAGGCGATACAAGCTAGACTTCCCTCAGACCATCATCGTCGTCGCCAAACTCTGGTTTTTGGGAAATCGTTATAACATTCATTACCATTGTGGAGTATGCATTCAACCCAAGCCCAAGGTTTCGATTTTTGGGAAATCAATCTAACTTTCATTACCAGTTGCACTGATGGAGATGATGAAGCGTAAAGATGGTAAACAATCACATTAGTGTGGATTTCGATTGTTGAGATGGTGCAACAAGGTTGATGATGGTGGGTTTTAGAGTAAGGATGAGGTGGAGAAGACGTTGACTCAAGAAGGGAGTGAAATTGGATTTCTTTTTGGGTTTTTAATTAAAAAAATATGGAAATAAAGGAAATTAAAAAAACTATTTTAGGGGCATATTGGTCATTTTAGGTTGGGTATCGACCAAAATCACACAGAAATATCAACTATAGGGACCAAAACCACACAAAATATCCGAAATTGGACCACCAATACATCATTAAACTTTATTAGACCAAAACTATAGAATTTTACATATTTTTTCAATTGTCTCACAAATTCTAATCCAAAGAGGAGCAGAAACCACTTTGTGTACACGAAGGTTCACTGTGATGACTCCGAGCTACTCACGAAAAGGGTAGTCGTTCAAGAATTAGTCGGCTCGCAAAACGTGTCAGAAACCTCACTCCCAAGATGCCAAAAAAGTTATTTTAATGTTCTTTTTTATCTTTAGAATTAAGACTCATTTTTTACTAGAAAATCCATTTCGTAGATATCATATGCGAAAATGGTATTTCTGAGTCAAATTTTTGCTAAGAATGTCATTTTTGCAAATTTTATATGTGAAAATGTTATTTCTCATTCAATTTTTTTTCGTTGAGAAATGTTACTTTTGCAAATGATATTTGCACAAAATGCATTGGAAATAAATTTGAAGTAAATATATTATAACATTTATCATGAATGGTTCCAATATAAATAAATTTGGCTAAAATTATTCAAGATTTGTGTGTAATTTTTTAATTAAAATTCAACTAGTATAAGAATAATGCAATAAGTATCTTTTTAGACTGAAATAGAAGACATTAATTGTCGATTAAGATACTCTCATATATTTATTTAACTAGTTTATACCCCGTGAGAATCACGGTTATACAATTAATTAAATTTTAATATTAAAAAATCAAAATTATTAATAAATTATTTTAAATAAATTATTACTTAATAGATATTTTTTTAGTTATATAAAATTATAATTGTTGATTTAAATAAATACGTGAAGTTATATCACCTTATAATCTGTATTAACTTTATTTTATTTTTTAATCTAATGTTATTAATTTAATATAGTTAGATTGAGAAAATTTAAAATGGAGAATCAATTATTACTTTAATGTAATTAGAGTGAGAATGTAACACCCCGATTCCTGGATGTGGAACTTGAGGATTTAGTGCAAGTTGAAGGGCCTACTCGACGAGTTGGTTGGCCCCAACTCGTCGTGTATGAGTTGATCAGGACGCATAGGTTAGGAAGCCTACTCGTCGAGTTGAAGGGTTGGACTCGATGAGTTGAGGCTGTGTGATGAAACCCTAATTCTCGGGTGTGCATCCTATTTAAAGGACCTTAAGTCCTTTACCCCGCCTCCCTTACCACCTTTCATGTCCAGAGAGTAACCCTAGCGAGATAAGTGTGTGTGTGTGTGAGGCCAAAAGTGTGTTTTTGGTGCATTCCTTGAAGAGGCTTGAGGACATTGAGGCTTGGAACGAGAGAAAGCTTGTAGATCCAACATCTACATCGTGTTGGCATCCAATGGGAGGTAAAAAGTCTTTACCTTGGTTTTCCATTCCTTAGATCTCTTCTTATGTGAGTTTTTGGGCTTTTTGGTGCAAAATGAGGGCCATTCTCGGGTTAAGCTTGTCCAGTGGGTATGAGTTTCAGATCTGGACTTCTCTAGGCCCCATGTGCATAAAGCCTCAAGCTTTATGAAGCTTTGTGTCACACCCCAAACCGGAACGGCGGAAACGTTCGGGGGTGGATGACTTCATGTATCGTATCACAACCATTGCATTACAGTAATCAAAGTAAACACAACCATTACAATAATTCAGTAAAATATTTACATCGGTTTGATTCATGTTGATAGACATCAAAAGTACGACAAAAGTAAAAGACGAGACTCTATGCGCTCCGTCTTCTCAAAACTCCAGGAGGTACCTGTCTATTGATTTCCTGAGAATACAAGCAGTTTTGAAAGAGTATCAGCATAAAGCTGGTGAGTGCATAAGCATGTTTTTGAATGAAAAATCGGTTAATGAATCAATAAATGTATTTGTATGCTTCCAAGAAAATCCATTATTTTCTAACATGTGTATTTTGTTACTGAATCTCATGTAATGTGTTGTGAATTGTTTGATTGAATAAGAAACCTCTTTTTATATGAAAAACCCAGATTATTGCCAGTATGTATAGTAAGTTCGGAAAGTTCTGAAAACTGTAATATGTATAGAGTTCTATTACTTTATAATAAAACTAATTAAAGTTATTACCATCCATACATTAATCATATTTTCTTAGTACCAAATTTATGAGTTGTTATAACCATACTTAACCATTGAATTGCCTGAACGACGTTCTTCAGGTGTCGGAATCGAAATGACTTTGTCACCCAGGCCTGCCGGCCTAACTGTAGCTAGCAGTTATGGTGCGGGATTGTCAATCCCGTATAGATCTATACAC